GAATGTTAGTGCTTTGCGCAGCTTTCCAAATCATTCCAAGAGACACACCTTTTCCTTGAGATCTTTCAACACTTGATTGCGTTCCCTCTTGATCAGGTTCAGCTTCTTCATGATCTCTTCCACTTTGTGAATTTGATCAACGACACTGGGGCCTCCCTCGTCAAAATCAACATCCAGCAGGTTTGGTTCGTTGCCTGAGGGGCTCGTAACATTGCTCGATTTCCCGCGCACCTTGCTGACGGCATGTTGAAACAGGGATTCGATACTTCCGTGGGAGGCAGCCGCCCTCATCTCCTCGAACTCGATTTCATTCTGCCTCAATTTTGCCGCCAGCTGGTTGTCGCTTCTCGCTGCTTCTTCCAACGCTTCTCGGTAGTTCCTAATGTCGCTTCGCAGGGTCGATGTTAATCTCGAGCTTGGTTGTTGTGTCCATTCGTTCTCGTATTTCGAACGCATCTTCTCGCACACGCTTTCTTCCATGTCCAGTTGTTTGTTGTTCTTATCCAAGGTGTTCACGATAATGTCCTTGTCGGACCGCAAAATGTCGAAGATGGCGGCCGGATCTTCATGCCCCGCAACGTCTTCGCACCAGGTCCTGAACTCTTCATCCGGCATAATTTCTTGATCGAAGCCCCCCTTCAAAACCTGCAGAGCGCCGGGAAGCCTCAGATAATCCAAACTTGCTGCCATTTCACTGTTCGCCGTGTCCACTCGTTCCGTCTCAGCTCTGATCAACTTAGCCTTCTCCTCGTCGTAGAGACTGGCCGATTCTGTCACAGCCAGGGGCACAATCTTGGAGAAAAGGTCCGGCCCTGTAATGCGCTGAATATCTTGACCAGCGTAGAGTTCGCTTACGGGAATTGGTTTCGACGCTGGGAGCTTGGGAACGGGTGGCAGGCTCGCCTCCACAGGCACGGTCTGGTGGTAGATGAAATCATTGTCCTTGCTGAATTCCTTGAGTTTGTCCTGAACGGTTGACAGATGCCGTTTGGTAAATTCGACTAAGAGCCCGCCAGTCTCGGCGCCGAGGTTTGAGCTCGGGGGCACTGAGTTAGGGAAGTTGGTGGCAATGCGGTTTGCCTCCTTGCCCTGGGTTTCCGCAGCCTGAAGTCTGGCGACAGCAGTTCCGTGTTGACCAGCTTCGTCGTCGGCAAGCGCCTGGTAATACTGCGACATGGAGCTCAGGAGGTTAAATTTTACCTACCACTGTTAGCTAACGTCACAGTGTGTGGTTGCAAACCACCTTTGATAGAAGGAGTGGGAAGACAACGTCTAGCAATCCTTACCTGAACCATGAGGAGCCAGACTTTCTCGAAGATGGCTCTGTTGAAATTGTCCTGGACACCTTCAACAGCTTGCCCGTACAGGTACGCCGCCTGACTAGAGAGCTTGGCCAGCAAGGCCACCTTCTTTTGGTCCGCCACCTGTTTCTCTAAGAAAACCTCTTGCGCCTGGGCCAACATGATTGAGATGAGGGTTTTGACAGTTTCGCGGCTGAGGTCAGACGAAGGTGCGTGGAGGAAGTTCTCATTGATGTAAGTGAACATGCCGGCGGACGCCTGAAAGGAGTGGTACGCGGCTTTGAGGCCTGACTCCTCGGATCTTGTTTGGTGGGCGGCGTGACATGACAGGACGGCGGAGATGTTGAATATTATGGAAGCCTTTTCGAATGCGAGCGAGTATTGGGCGGTAGATTTGTGTGTGAAGGCGTCGAACCTGCAAAGCACTCGATGTTAGTATGCTCAAACGGCGCTTTGGGCCGCAAAAGGGCGGGGATAGCGGGGGAGATACCATGTGAAGGAGATCTTGATGTGTTGCTCATCGACGGGAAAGCGCAAGTCGAGGAGCTCGAGCTGACCGTAGTATCTGTAGAGCATATCGCGGCCCGACGTGCTGTCCTTGCCGGCGCCCCTCACATCCTGTCGCAGACGATTGAGGGTGGCGCACTCCTCAGCATAGCGCTCAGGATCATCGCCGTATGTGTCCCTGATGTAGTCCTTCAGCGGGGTAACCCAGTCGATTTCGTTTGTGGCCTTGAGCGGCGAAGAGATCATAGGCGACTGCGTCATTTTGGAAGACGACGACGAAGCCAGCTCCGGAGACGAGGTTTCGGCCCGGGGAATCGCGGGGATGTCACGGGGGACTGTGAATCGCGGTCGGAGGGGTGGTTTGCTGTGATGTGCAGCCTCGTTCAGATGTCTTGGTGATTGGGTGGCATACGGGGCCTCGTCAGAGGTGGCCTTGGGAGAAAGGTGACGGCTGAAGGTGGACGGATGCAGCTCTCCGGTCAGGTCGCTGGGCTGGTTGCTGTCCAGGTCGCTGTCTGTCTTGCCGTGGCGGGCGGAGTGCGGGGTGGGGGCGGGCAGCGACGATTGAAGGAGAAGCCGTCGGATGCAGTCAAGAGTCAGTGCACCCAAGCTCCGTCAGGTGTACGTACTCTCTTTTCTATCTCTCTCTCTGTGTGTAGGTATGTGTATGTGTGTGAGTGTGTCGGGCCAGGTCAGGTACCCGACGTGAGTGCGTGTGTCGCTCAATGGTGGGCAGACCCGTTTTGTGGTGCTGCTGGCTGCTGGAGAAGGATGCTCTCGGCGGCGCTGACGGCGCTGGCTGGGTTGCTGTTCTGCGGCCGACCTTAAGTTTTGGTGCTTGTTCAGGACGCAGATTGAGTCGATGTTGGTGTGGTAGTACGGCAGTTTGCGACGGATTGTCTCCAGCAGGCGGTAACAATCCGTATTGTTCTTCTTTATTTCTTTATGGCTACTTCTTCTGAAGAAAAGCACCAGATCCGTCTTCCTGTGAGGTCATAATGCTGGGGGACCCGGTGAGATGAGGGACGGTTGGTAATTTAGATAGAGGCCTAAAGGGGAGCTTGGGAGGGTGGGGCAGCTTCGTGTGTCCGAGATGGCTCGGTGTCGTCAGACGTCTCGTTTTCGCCTCTAAACACCCCAGGTTGCGCCTCTGGCGATGGCGGTACCGGACTGTCGGTGATATATGCTTGGTGGACGAAGCGCCCGGTGGAATAGGACGACTGCCAGACAGGGCTCGGGGATTGGAGGCGAGTAAACCGCTGCGCCGTGTCATTCGTCGTCGTCGTCGTCGTCGTCTTGTTGCACCTCTCGGCTTAGCCCTCGTGTGTGGTGTTGACGTTGGCGCATAACATGGACGGGGAAGGGGGATACGTCGGGCTGTCTTACGTAGCCGCCAGGCAGTGAGAATTGTACACTATGAGCCGGGGATGTTCCTGGCTTTTCGGCGGGGGCCTAGACGACCTCGGGAGGGTGCGAACTTTTCTGTCGCACTTGCCTCAACAAGAGTTGGACAATGTTGTTTCCCTCTTTCATGACTTCGCCTCAGCCACCTACTTCCACCTACTTCAACGCAAGTCGGATAGAGTGAGTTTCCCACAAATCGCGAGTCCGCCTTTAAAATTGCTTTATTCTTGGACTTGCTCCAAAGGAAGCTTGGCGCTTTTAACCTCCCTTCAATTGGGCATCTCTGTGAACGCGCCTATCCCAACTCACAGGTGCCAATATCACCAAGCAGCTTCAAGCACGATGATACCAAATCCACCTTTACTTCGGGCCCTAATCACCTCACCGTACATCAGGTTACCTCGCCTATCGCGTCGACATGGCTAGATGGCCTATCCCTCATCTTTGGAGGGATCACAGTGAGACGTTGCCCAATGCGACTCTCCTCTCACTCCACTCGTAACAGTGTGCTCCGAACAGCTCGACCCAGCCAGCTCTCGTATGCCCGTCTCGTGATATTCGCGTTGTTCCGTTCCACATGCCTCCATAACTTGGCCAGACCGCACCGTCCGCTCATCACGGTGTCATCGCTGCTTACGTTCCGATGTCTGCTGCACGTAAGCACAGCTAGACAACGGTGACCTGACATTTCTCAACCCAGCGAGCACAATGAATTCACGTACAGTTTCCTCCGCAGCCTTTCTCTCGACCAAAATCCGTACGCCAGCGAAGCTAAGACCTAGGTAGATACATCGCTCAACGGAGACATCCCGACGATGCGATACTCTTCAATCTGAGCCGAGTCCATCCGTATTCCCACGAACATCCCCAAATACCCTCACCTAAACCTCGACAACCCACGTTTCCGCAACCACATTGGCCCTCCGCCATCCCGGCCCTCATGCAGGTGACGGGCTACCCAATATCCGTACCTTAGCTACCCCTCCTCCCCGGCCTGCCATTGGTCGCCGGCGGCCGGCGCTTCGTGGCCCCACTAGGGACCCGAGCCAGGACCAGGTAACAGGCCCGAACGGGCCGCTCCTTGCAGGGTTTGGAGTCCCCGTCCTTCCAGGTTCTTTGTGGCATTTTCCCGTGCAACACCGCGAGCGGGCGGCCACTGTTTCCTGCGCGGCAACGCAGCGTTTCTGTAGCCTGGATCAACACCAGACCTCCTGCGCATCATGGTGCTCACATGAGCTCCACGCGTCGCATCGTCTAGGTCTCAAGCGCCCTGCGTCACAACCAGGCGCCTCTCGAACCGTTTTCCTCTCTCGTTACAATTCACCCTGCCCAACATTGTTAAGAAAAGTTGTTGTATACTGTCTTCATTGATGGGGTGTGGTTCTTTTGTAAAAATAATCTGAGGTGAGTGGCCTCCGCGGTGAGTCTGGCTGTCCTTCTTTCCCCCCCCCTCTTCTCTCTTCTCCTACGTCTATACTACACTGTGCACTTTTGAGTCATGTGAATAATACAATCGAGTAAAGCAATGGGCTTTCTCCAAACCAGAAAAAAAATATGGGCTGGCAACCTCCTCTCCCTCTCTCTGCCGACAACGTCGGATGATTGTTGAGATTATAAGAACAACAAGATAGAAGCCAGAAAAAACAATCAACCCTTTGTAAACACCTGCCATGCAAGATCCTCCAACCTTACGTTCTATGATCAACCGGGAAGAAAGTCCATCTACACGCCAGGCCGCAGGATGCCGAGATATAGTACAAGGACAAGAAAAAAAGAAAGACATCGTGCTCAAGATGAGCCGGAGCCAGGGTCTTTCTTGGACTCGTCCTTCTTCTCGTCAGTCTTTCTATCCGTCGTCGTCGACTTGTCAGCCCCGTCGGCCTGACCAGGCTTCTGGTGAGCCGGGTGGTTCGTCAGCGTGTGCCACATGGATTTGAGGAAGCCCTCGTTTTTATGGGTCTCGGAGTCATCCGGCGAAGCTGGCTGTGTTCTACTTTCGAGAATTAGCACAAGAGACGCTGCGACAGGTCCTGGGAGAAGAGAGGGAGAGAGAGAGAGAAAGCCCCGTTTCGGCTGCTCGCTCGCGCGCGCGCGCAGAAAACTCACCCCTGGGGAGTGACGTTCATAATCTTCCGCGCCGTCTTGTCTCCCATCTCGTTCGCCAGCATCTCCACCAGGGTACGCTGGTTCGCGCTCAGGTACTTGGGCATGTTGACTCGGAACTCCACTTTGAGGTCGCCGGAGCCTCCCCTCCTACCGTTCAGCTTCTTCATGCCCATGCCCGACAGCGTCAGCTTGTCGCCCGTGTTGGTGCCGGTAGCCACCTTGACGTTGACTTGCCCGTCGAGGGTCGGCACCGTAACCTCTCCTCCGAGCATCGCCGTCGTAATGGGGATGCTGGCCGTGTACAGAATGTCGGAGCCCGCCCGACGGAACTTGGGGTCCGTCGCGACGCGCACAAAGACGTAGAGGTCGCCCTTCTGCGTCCGCATGTTGGCGTCGGCGTTCTTGCCGGTGACGGGGGCATCGCCTGCACCGTCAACGCGCAGCCTCATTCCGTCTTCGATACCGGCGGGGATGTCGACGGTGATTGTCTTCCGCTCCCTTACAACACCGTTACCTGCGCAAGACCTGCACTCCGATCCCCGAGGAATGGTCGTGCCCGTTCCTCCACAGCTTCCGCAAGTCGACGCCATCTGGAATCCGCCATTCATGAAGTGCACCCGCGTTCCCGTTCCGTTGCAGGACTTGCACTCTGACCTCTTGGTGCCCTGCTTGAGTCCACTGCCCGTACAAGTTCCGCACTCCGTCAGGGGCGTCACCGTGATCGTCTTGCTCGTTCCTTTGGCCGCCTCCATGAATGATATGCTCGATTGCACCTCGATGTTATCGCCCACCAGGATTTCCTGCTGGAAGGGGTTCCGTCCGCCGCGGCGTCCGAACGGGGATCCTTGGCCGCCTGTGAATGCAGAGAAGATGTCATCAAAGTTGAAGCCGCCGCCGCCGCCGAAGCCTCCTTGCCCTCCGAACCCGCCGCCGAATGGGTTTCCAGCTCCTCCAAAGGGATCGCCGCCAGGTGCGCCGCTGGGGTCGAAGCCAGCAGCGCCGTACTGGTCGAATTGCTGCTTCTTCTTCGGGTCGGACAGTATCTCGTATGCGCTCTGGATCTCGCCAAACTTCTCCTTCGCTCCGGCGTCTTTGTTCGTGTCGGGATGGTATTTCTTCGCCAGGCCATAGTATGCCTTCTTGATATCACCCGCGGATGACGATTTGTCGACACCCAAGGTCTTGTAGGGGTCGCTCGGGGCGAGGTTGGTAGATGTCGCATGGAATGCCTGCCAAGTGACCATTGAGCGAGCTGTACAGACACTTTAGTAAATAGGAAAACTTACACGTTTGGACGAGGGAGTTTGAGATGTCACCCGGGAAGCTAGAGGCTTCGTGGGTCTGACGGTACAAGTGACGGTGTGGATTTGGACGCGTTTGCAGACAGAATCCTTGAGCCTGGACGGCCTGGAAATACGGCTGGACAGCAGACGGCTCGGGGCCGCTGCCTTGGTAAGAATGCTTGCATTCATTGCGAAGCCTGACGATTCATCTGAAGCAATGTGTTGTAGATTTTAGGGGTTAATTTGACCTGGGGATGCGGAAAAGGCATCGGCATCTAAGTGGAACTCTCCCGCAAATTCTTTGCCCTTCGATGCCATTGAGAACGGGATGATATCAACTTTTTTTGGGGCCCGATGCTAAGCCGAAAGGCAGTTTATTGCCTCAGGCATAGGCGACTTGAAAGCGCGGGCGAGTGCAGGGGGACCGGGGGTATTTGGTAAGGTAAATGGGGGTAACTCCTGCAGGCTTCACGTCAGCAATTGGGATGGCTTTAAGTGGCTCGCGAACAGGCCCCACAGCCCGCAGGCGGGAATTCGCGGCTAGGGGCGCGTTGTGCGTGCATGAATGGAAGCCTTCGTTGCGCCGGGCCTCGGAGGAGCGGCCAGGAGAATTGAGGCGTCAGTGTCCAACCAATTGAGTATTTATAAAAGCCTCCGGATCCAAAACTCCTTATTTCATTACTGTTATAGATCATAGCTATTTGAGAGCGAGACAAAAGATCTTGCCCTTATCGTCTATCGTCTATCGTCATGGGTTTCCTGCCCATGGTGAGGTATCATTATGCAGTCCGAAATCGCCCAAACGGCCGGCGTGGCTCTATGCTCCAGTGACACAAATGTACCCGTCAGCCAACTTCTGTTGATGCATTCAATTCCAAAACAGTACTCGTTTCGTCATCAAGGTCTTCAAGCGTCGTGTGATTTCGAATTTGATCTTCTGTGGCGGTCGCTTTTAGTAATGGCCTGGCTCCTGACCTTGTGAATAAAGTCGACAATGACATCGTTTTCTTGTATTCCGACACCGTTAAAGTGTTTCCGCACTGTCATCGCTAGTTGTTCTTTGCTCTGCCTTCTATTCTCCTTCTTCCGAGCCATCGTTGGGGAGTGTAGGCCAATGCCACCGGGGCGCGAAAGAACCAATTGACGATACGAGCATGAGAAGGAGGTAGGAGTGTTGAGGTGGTGCTCGCGACGGTATGCATGGAGTGTGTCTCGCTCAAAGGTTTTCCATTGAATCTGCAGAAGACAAAAGTTAGCCGTCAGTTTCACGAGGCTGGGACGCAGCATGTGTGTGTATGGCGAGGTCGAAGGGGCGGGCGAGGGATTGTTCTTACGCCAGGATTTTGAGCAGCCTCCTTGGCCGGAGTGGGAGCATCAGCAGCTGCGTTGGCATTTGTGACTTCTCGCAATTGAGAGCCCGTCGAGCTGGCCACGCGACGAAGCTTTCCATTCGAGTGACCACCAGAACCAGACGTGTGCTTTTCTTTGGTGTTTGTGCTCTCGGACTTTGCGTCGTCGTGAGCGACCTTGGAAGATTTGGGTGCCATGACAGGGTAAGATGAATTCAATTAGGATTTGCCGAGGCTGTCGTTGCTGATTTGGCCTAGGTCACAGGAACTGAAGAGAGGCGTTCCCAGGTATTACATCGTAATCGAGAGTGAAGATTGGGGAGAAAACGGTGTGAGGGGGGGAGGGAGGCAGGGCAGGGCCGGGGCGGAAGAGTGGAAGCGTGGATGCGTGGGCGGGAAGGGGATTTTTTTCTCACGTCATGGCACCAAACAGCCGGCGGCGCCTTTGTTGGTTGCTGGTTGCTGGTTGCCCAGGGGCCTGCCGCCTGCCTGCCTCGAGGAGCGAGCTGCGGGGCGGCCACTGGCGGCATGGCGGAATTCGGGGTCTGGCGTTGACAGCGAGCCAGCTGGAACCGTGGACTGTGGTGCCTGGAAAAGCTAGGCCCCGTTGCTGGCGTCAATGTGGTGCGACATCGGTACGTACTGGTAGAAATGTGATCCCCGACTTTCAGGCTGCTTATCTAAGTCGGCTCCGGAGCAGATTTTCAGCTCCAGCCTAATCGAGATAGCGCACCGGTCGACCATCCTCGGTGTGAAGTGAGGTACCTTACCATCGGCCCCTCAATTTTTTCTGCGGTCCACAATCAATACGTCTATAGGTCGTTTTTCCATCAAGCTAACATAAGGTACCTATTCCGTTGCACCAGACAGACTCATGGAGATCAAAAACTCTTCATCAAAACTATTCTCATGACACTCCGGATGCCTGCAGCCCGGAACATGGGCTACCGGTGACACCGAAAACGATGCTCTCAATTCGCCATGGTGTGGCTTCGTTCGCAAACCAGAAACGGGTATGCCACGCACCAGCAAGCGAAATATCAAGCAGTCGAATTGGGGAACTTCCGTCCCGCCGCAAGTCACCAATACAGTACTTAGCGGGGTGTGGAATTAAAGGCCACCTTATTGTTCACCCAGGGATAGACGTCGACTTACACGGTGCCTCGTACTTTGCCATTTCACAAACTCAACCCCAATTTCCCCACATCGAGGGAGAACGAGTCTTGGCTGCACGAACACATCGGCCGCGAGCAACAAGGGATGCTCTACTTCATTCTTGGCCTCCTGATCAAGCCAGGCACCCAGGGCATCATCTCAAGACCTCCAGGGTTCCCAGCGTAACGGATACCCGAGTCATCTTACGGCCCGCGAGATATGCCCGACAAAAGTGTGTCTGGGATTCCATCCCCCACGCAGTACGAAACACTAGGTATGGCTGGCCCAGTAGCTTGGGCTACCATCTCGCACGTAATCGAATCTCTACATGAGGGTCATCCCGCGTCGATACGCAGGTGGACCAAGAGACCCCCAAACTTTCTTTCGACGCCAGACTCGGGAGCCCCACGACGTTCTATCTGTTCTGTTTCTCAGCTAGTAGTGAAACTAACTGCGCATATTAGGCAAGAGAAAGAGCTGTCTGCCTTGAGGCCTCGAAATTTGGCCGAGTCTCTGCCTAACGCCCTGGTCATGCCAAAGGTCTCTAGAAAGGGGGGCTGGCTACCAAAAACGATAGGTGATCGGGCATCCTCACTCGAATACATATCGGCGGGCGGATTGGTCAGGTGTCAAACGCGTTTACAGCTCCAACCCGCAAGGACATGCGCAAGTGGCACGCTTTCGATGAAGAACCTGAACACTGTTGCCCGCCATAGGCGCCAAAAAAAAACGCCAACTAGTCACGTTCGCCATTGCAGACACGTCGATGGCAATACTTTTGGAATCTTCCAAACAAATGCAACCCCCAAACTACCACGGAAAGCTATCAGGTTACTGTAAGCTGAATATGCTTCCAAACGGTGGCTTCGTAAGGGAGATCATTTTTGTTGCTATCCTCACGGGTACCCTCTGCCAGCTTGCGAGACCACCCTTGACGCCACGAGAAGCTCACCGTGGGTGGAGCCGACCGTCTGTGGTTTCCTCCCAAAGGTGCTGACCGGCGATCAGCTAAAAATCCCTGCCACCTCCACCACAAGATTTTGTGAGGTTGCCTCGGCCCTGGGCTCAAGTACCTACAGGCTACATCTCGTTCCTAGATGACTGCTACGATCGACACCGTCTGCTTGGCAACATTGCACGCACAGTTAATTCAGTCGACCTCCACGTCCGATGAGAGCAGAAGTTGCTAGGGGAAAAGCGACTCAAAATCTCATTTGAACGCTGACATCTCGAATTAGTTGTTCGGCTAAATGACTACGAGAGCACTACGAGAGCGAAAAGAAATGCCGCCTTTCACAGCTCCAAAGACAGGTATCGCCACTCCAGTATCTGTACAGGGCAGCGTATCCGAAGACTTTTTTTTTTTTTTTTTTTTTTTTTTTTTTTTTTTTTTTCTGCTTTTACCGAGATCCACGACTGACACTCGACAAGTCGAAGAATGGGATTGTATTAAATTCTGATTTGTATATTGTGTTTATGGTGTGTTTTTTATTGGTGTTTTTTTTTTTTAATATTTTTGTTTTTATTTTTTTGAACTGAACAAATGTTTCTACTGCCCAATAAGTTGATCCGAACAACGCGACTCAAGCCCATTTGGCTGCCGACATCAATGGGAAATGGACTCGGAGACTTGCCCACCAACAACTCTGGGTTGCCACAACCTACAGGGTCGCGTGCTGCCTTTCCGAATCCAGGGTCTATACCGCATTGGGAACCCATTACGAGATGAGAAGAGCCAAGGAATTGAGTGTGCATCAACGGGGATGACCGACGTACCGACCGAGACTCCGGAAATACTCATTTGAACGTATCCGTCTGCCTCAACTGTTGGACTCCGCCGACTGGGAAGATTCACCCACACCCCACCTGAGAATGCGGTATTTGTTCCTGATGTGCCTCACGCGTCTCAGCCTCAGAGCGTGGGGTTGATAAATGGCACAAGATCGACAACGACATGGCATTCGCCTCTGGCTAGATTTGAATATCACAATGTGTATGATGAGCGGCTAGCTTAGCTCAGAGTGTCCCAGTATAGCTGTTTTCGAGCCCCATCAGTGAGTGCTGCAGCTTCGGTCTAACAGCAACAGCTTAGACGCGATAGCCGGGCAGTCTGGTAGGTCTGGTGCGACCTGCCACAAAAATCACCACGTGTGAGATTAACGGCGACCGGTGATTGACAGTCAATTAATAGCAAAATCGTGCTGGTCGGGTGGCGCGCCTTTGCCTCTCTTCTGCGTCCTGCTCAAGGTGCTTTTCCTCACATTGCCTTATTTCCTGTCAACACCCTCGAGCGGAGCAATCTTGCAGCTACGCCCATCATTTGCACTGACGCATCTTAGAGCGACAAAAAGTCATGAAGCAAATTACGTAGGCAATTACACTAATGAGAACGATATCCGTTGGACTGTTGGCAGCACCGTCTGTGGGTAGCTACAAAGGCACATGCTGGCTGGCAAAGGCTGACAGAACACCACCCCCCAAAAGAAGCTTGAGGAGTCTGTAAGTGACACTGGCGGCCGATCCGCGCAACCATGTCGATACCTAGGCCGGGGTGTGGCGCCCCAGAAGAGTGAAGGCCACCAAGCTCCAGACCGTGCCCATCCCCACACGTCTCGTCTTCTTCAAGTGAGCTGCTCATACCGGCCATCCCTGCAGAGGCTAGCCACGCCAGTCACGGACGGCATG